ACGGTGCTACAGGAATACAAGAACTCCTTGGGAGTTCTAGAAAATGGACTTTTGGGGGAAGAAATTTACATTTGGCAGGGAGGTTGATTTAACCTGGTGAGAGCCTTAAGAGGATTTCACTGGCACTCAGAAAATTAGGTTCTGACTCGACCAGCCAGCTGTGTGACCCTGAGGAAGTCCTACAGCTTCCTCTTTTGAAAAACGAGGAGCCTGGACAAGATGGACTATGCTAGTCTCATAATCTTGTGGAACGGAAAACTATCTGCAGAGATGAGTTTCCTTCCATCCCTGTGAGCCCACTAAAAATAAAATGGCCTTTTAGAGAATGGTGGGCAGCTGCGGGCACCCCCCTGCCCCCGTCCTCTCTTTGCTCACAGACGCCTTTCTTTACCCAGTCGGCTTTCGGCTTTTCCTGCTTCAACCCCGTAGGTTTTCTCGGGCGCGAGGCCTGACTCAGCGGTGCTTCCCTCTTGTGTCTGTGTGTCACCGGGCGAATGAGGTTCCTGCAGGAAGAGGAACTCACCGAGGCAGGCGATTCGGAAAAAGCGCCCCGTCTCCTGGCGGGCGGCGGGCTCCCTCCCAATCCTTGAGCAGGGCCTTCCCCTGGCGGCCGGTGGGGGGACAGCAGCCCCCCCCCCCCCCCCCCCCGCAGGTCGTTTCTGGAACCGCGCAAAGCCATGGGCCACAGAAGATTCGTTGAAGCAGTTCTTTGTGAAGAATATTGTCTTTTCTGACACAGACTTAAACTTTGCCTCTCCTTTTGTTTTTTAATTTTTTTTTTTTCCTGTCAAATATGTGAGAGAGGGAAAGAGAAACTTCAAGAGTGAAATGGTAAAAAGAAAAGAGACACAGAGCGGGGTTTGAATGAAGAATGAATTGTCAGTCTAAATTTGAGCAGGCTTGCTGCTTTAACTATTCAGAAAAGCCGGTATTTCAAGCCCGAGTTATCTGTGGAAGATGATGAGTAGAGAGGAATTATTTCCAGATGGCTTTTGAATGTTTCATCCTCAAGGGCATTTTGAGAATGGGCCTTGGTGGATCTGTTGGGCTGTTTTGGGGATCTGAGCGGAGCCCTTGGGTAGGGCAAAAGGAGAGACCCAAAATGGGCTTCCTAGAGCCAAGTCCTCATCATGGGGTGACGGTCTCGCCAAAGCCTGCACACCAGGGGCCCCTCACTCGCAGAGAGTAAGAGCCATGGTGCTAGCAGGGGAAGGGGCTCTGGGTGCTGCTGGGAACGGCAGGCATTCAGGAGGGCTGATTTCTCAGCTTGGAAGCAGGGGGAGCCTGGGTGTAAGCCGAAAGGACACCAAAGAGGGCCCAAAAGGGACAAAACTCGAGAGGTGCATATTTGTCCACTGAGCCCTGGGCAGAGCAGCCCTGCCTGCCTGTGGGTGTGGGTACTCCCTCCTCCAGGCGCCTCTCCCAGCTGTGGAAGTGGGGGGGGGTGCTCTATGTCCTGTGGGTCTTGGTTTGCCCGCTGCGGGCGCGGGAAGGGCAGGGCTTGCTGACTGCCTGCTGGCCCAGTGGTGAGCCTGAGAGAGAGCATTTCTACACTGGGGACGAGATAGACGCTCACGTCAGCCCTGCCTTCCCATCTTGGGGATGGCTTCTGGGGGTGCACAGGCAGCAAAGATGAATCGTTTAGCATTTCTTGTGGGATAATGAACTTGAGAGCTTCCTATGGGAGGAGTTGCACGCTATGAGCTCTGTGACATAAAAATATGTAAAAGTACACATCGGTCCCCACCCTGCCCACCTGGCCATTTGCAGAGAGCAGTTCACCTTGCAAGAGCTCATTTTCCTCCTCTTCAAGGGTAGGGCAGCATCATCCTTTGGTTTTTACGTTCTCTGGGGGTTGTGTGGGCTAAAGGGTGACAAGGGCTGCTCATCCATGGGGCCGGGGGACAGAGGGAGTTCAAAGCAACTGAGATAAAAAGAACTGAGTTGTGGGGTTTGGGGAACTGTGAGACACATTAGCCGGAATCCATCCTGAAGGTTCGGCTCAGAAATAGCAGCGGCATATTGATCTGGAATCCGAGAGCTAGTGTTTTAATTCTGTCACCACCTCTTTGAACTCTGCACATCGATGTGCACACTGCAGATAAAAGGCCTTTGGTGCTTTTGTTTCATTATGGCTCACAACCAGTGAAGGCCACTCTCCCTGGGATAGGAGACCTTCTGGAGAATGATGTTCTGATGAGTGTCACCAGCCGGGGCCCCTATTGCTCCACATTTGCAGGAACTGTCCTCTAAGCATGGGGGTAGGCGGTGGGGGTGGGGGGGCAGCGCGGCGTGAGAAGGAGTAAAAATAATTCAGATTGCCAGTTGATATTTCAAATCTCATTTTGTATTTCAGTGTAAAGAAGAGCACATTTCTTTTTTTCAACATTTCCTCCTTGATCTTCAGGCTTTTAGACACCTTTAACAGAAGAGAACCATATCAGTATTTTTTTCTTTTTGGGCTATGTCGTTTCCCATTCACATATAGATTGCATGGTCCTTTCCGATGAGCATGTGTCAAGGAGGCCATCTCTGTGTCTCCTTGCCTTGCCATCCCTCTTAGAAGAGCAGTGACTGCCAACTGAGGCCAGTTGCTTTGTTCTAGTACATTCTACTTCCTGGGCAGTTTCCTGATTTTACCTTATACTTCTTCCTTTGAAATTTCCATTTCTACCATCATATTTTTTAATTTCTAAGGTCAGTCTTATTCGCTGAATAATCTTCTAAAATAGTATCCTGCTCTTTTTTTGTATGGGTATAAACATTTGGTATTTCTTAGCTGAGCGTTTATTTTTGATAGATTAAAATGTGTCCCGAAAGGTCTATTAGCACAGCAGCTTGTAGACTGTTGCAACATCGCTTTTAGTTGGGGGATTCCATGTGTCAGGATCTGCAGGATTTTTCCCTCTTACCCAGAGGGCACTCCACACTTCTTCTGTCCGGCTTCACATGGGGCAACGTGTGAGCTGCATCTCAAGACCCCAAGCCTAGCCCTGTCTGATACAGGTTTCCTGGAGACTCAACTTTCACCTCTTCTTGGAATGCAGGAGAGTCAATCCTATGGTTTTGTGGCCAGGGGCACCAAGGGTATTTTTTTGTGCAGCCTTTCAACAGTTACTCCTGCTTTCAGCCTTGTTCTCCAATTCTTGATGTGTTCAGGGATTCTGTGGCATGAATTGTCTTGCTTCTCCGTGGCTCTCCTCCCTGGTGGCCCTCAAGGTTCCAACTTCTTCTTTCCCAGTGACCACTAGGCCACGTGCTTTTCATTGACATCACTTGTCTGGTGTCTCATCTCCTATCTGTTTGACCTTATGAATTTGTGTCTTTTATTCCTTAAGCCATTTGACAAAGGTGTTTGGAGGGAGTGGATAGAAATGCATGTATTTGCCAAATGGCCAACAGATATATGAAAAAGTACTCAACATCGCTCGGCATCAGGGAAATCCAAATCAAAACCTCAATGAGATATCACCTCACACCAGTCAGAATGGCTAAAATTAACAAGTCAGGAAATGACAGATGTTGGCGGGGATGCGGAGAAAGGGGAACCCCCCTACACTGTTGGTGGGAATGCAAGCTGGTGCAGCCACTCTGGAAAACAGTATGGAGGTTCCTCAAAAAGTTGAAAATAGAGCTACCATATGATCCAGCAATTGCACTACTGGGTATTTACCCCAAAGATACAAATGTAGGGATCCGAATGGGTATGTGCACCCGATGTTTATAGCAGCAATGTCCACAATAGCCAAACTGTGGAAAGAGCCAAGATGTCCATCAACAGATGAATGGATAAAGAAGATGTGGTATGTATATACAATGGAATATTATGCAGCCATCAAAAGGAATGAAATCTTGCCATTTGCAACGACGTGGATGGAACTGGAGGGTGTTATGCTGAGCAAAATAAGTCAATCAGAGAAAGACATGTATCATATGACCTCACTGATATGAGGAATTCTTAATCTCAGGAAACAAACTGAGGGTTGCTGGAGTGGTGGGGGGTAGGAGGGATGGGGTGGCTAGGTGATAGACATTGGGGAGGGTATGTGCTATGGTGAGTGCTGTGAATTGTGCAAGACTGTTGAATCACAGATCTGTACCTCTGAAACAAATAATACATTATATGTTAACAACAAAAAAAAGAAGATAGCAGGAGGGGAAGAATGAAGGGGGGGAAATCGGAGGGGGAGGCGAACCATGAGAGATGATGGACTCTGAAAAACAAACTGAGGGTTCTAGAGGGGAGAGGGGTGGGAGGATGGGTTAGCCTGGTGATGGGTATTAAAGAGGGCACATTCTGCATGGAGCATTGGGTGTTATACGCAAACAATAAATCATGGAACACTAAAAAAATATATATATGTAAAAAATAAATAAATAAATCATTAAAAAAAAAAGAAATGCATGTATTTGATTTCCAACGTGTCATGGACCTCTATCCTGATCAGCTTTAAAGAATTATTTAACAGAAAGAGCATTGAGATGAGACCTTTTTATAATTAAGCAGAACTGGAGGTTATTATTCAGCCATTAGATTCTGAAGAACAAATGTTAGAAATGCAGACATTAGAATTCATAAGTCTTACTGGGTGATACTTAGAAAAATAGATTACATAGTTTTTGAGTGCTAAAGGTTTTGAACAAAAGCAGTTTTATCTCTACCAAAACAATGCAGTGTGTTACCATACTTCTCCTCTAGACCCCTTCAAAATTTTTCGAATTTCTGGAGATACATATATTGTGAACATGTGAGTTCTGGGTTAATTATTGTATGTATGTGGGCCATGTTTCTAAAGCTTATTTTTACCATAGTTCTTTCCTTTCTACAAAAGCAATACAATTTCCTTGTAGAAAATACTGGTAAGAAATAGAAGAAAATATCCTCCTCTCCTACTCTCACCGATGAGAAGTAACTTCTCCTGTCATCTGGTTCTATGTTTATACTAGGTTAGAACTGATACCCTTGGTCTTCATGGCTGTGTGTCCTCAATCTTTTCCAGGATACCGGGGTTGGGAAATCAAGCATCGTGTGTCGATTTGTCCAGGATCACTTTGACCACAACATCAGCCCGACCATTGGGTAAGTTCCTGTATGTTCTTCTCTTTCACATTTCTTCCTTCCAAAACATCGAGAGGTCACTTTGTGCCTGAGCCTTCAAGCAGTTTTCACCCCAGCCAATGAGAATCTATCCCAACTGTAAAGACTTTGTGACAGAAATGCAGTGACTTTTAGGCAGGATGTCTGGGCTTACTGTCCCTGTCAATAATTCTTTTTTCCTAGCTGACTGGCTTCTTGGGCTTCAGCCTAAGACCATCTCCTTGATCTCCAAGAGCATTACTCTGTAAGTCACATCGGCTTTATTTCCAGATGGAAGATGAGACACAGGACAAATCCCTGAAGGTCGAGCTTTAAGTTCCTGCCAGTAAACCTGGAAATACTGTCTACTCACACAGCACAGTTGTCCAGAGTCTGTGGGGGCAGATGGATTTTCCTTTCTGGATTAATTGAGTGTTAGCATTTCCATTCTTATGCTTGGGGAGGGGAGGTGGACTGTTCACTCGGAGACCCCAACCTTAGAATATAGGGACCTTTTCCTATTCTGTTTTCCCCTTTCCTACAGATGCTTTTGCCAGATGTGCTTTGCTGTGCCATTTTGCAGGTGCTTGCTTTTTCACTCTCTTAGAACTTGGCCTCACTAAAGTTTCTCCCTGAAAATATCATGCTCTTTGCAGAGAGCAAAGGTTTTGTTTTCTTCAGAAGGGAAAGAATGTGTGTCTGTATTTTGGCAACACTGTAGGATTGATGAGCACAGGGGTGATTGTCTCTATCACTCGTAAGTGGAGAAGATTCATAGCAGGGCATAAGTAGATGCTCCAGCAGTTGGTTGATAGGCCAGTGGCTGGAGTGGGGTAGGTGAGAAAATCCACTACAGTTTGCAGTTAAAAGTGCCTTAAAGAAACATGTTCACAAAAAATATGCATCAAGAACAAGTTAGCTGTGTCCATTTCATGGATGCTGGCAGAGGACACACAACTCTGGATCAGACACAGAGGAAGTAGCAGCAGTTGGAGTATTCTCATTTTGTATTGGTTCCTGGAGCACTAATTTCCTGTAGGGTGATGTGAAGAGGATCAGATGATATGCTATATGCAGTGGATTGAGTTATAAGAGAGGACCCCCAAGTTTAGGGAACCCAAATCTTTTATTATGGGCAGTAAACATGTCTGTGCTTTGCTCCAGAGGGAGACCTTGTTTCTCTCTTCCAAGACTATTTGCCTCTAAGAGGTGGATCATTTGGGTCACAGTATCTTGGTTGAAGCAAGTCATAATGCCAATCCAGATTCAAGGGAGGGGAAATAAATCCCACCTCATGGTGGGAGGCAATCATTCAGAGGGGGAGCCGTATGGATGATTGGTACCCATTTTGGAGACAATCAGTCAAACCCTGTTGACCCTGCTTTGTCTAAGAATGCATTGTGGTGGTTTTGGGCTTTTAAAAAATTATGTATTATATGGAAATTCTCTGTACTTTATCTTCATTTTTTCTGTAAACCTAATACTTCTCTAAATAGTCCATTAATTAAAAAATTATGTATTCATTCCTCAAATTATAATGCTCATGAAAAATTCAGACCATACATAAAAATGTAAAATAAAAATTGAAGTCAGAGGATTTTACTAGCTTTCTGATCCCATTTTCTTCAATTTACATCAACAATATTTAGCGTCCAAAGTGCATACTTAACATGCTTCTTGTAAGTATTTTCTGTGTCTATGCAGGTGTACAAATACATAATTTCTAAAACCAAAAATGGCATCATATTCTACCTGCCATGCCACAGCATGCATTCTCTATCCTCTGCCTTATTTTTCTTTCATGAATACAAATTTCTTAGAAGACAAAATAAAAGGAACACTTTACTGTATATTTCCTTGACAGAGTCAAGAGTAAAGTCTAATTTTTCTGATTATAAAAGTTCATATTCATTCTAAAAAACCACAGAATTTATAAAAATTGGAATCATAGTATACATACAGTTTTTTATCCTATTTTCTTAATATATTTTGAACATTTTCTTATAATATCACATAATCTTTAGAAACATGGAAATACTATTTTCTCTTTTTATAAAGTATTATATACTAATAAAAAATTGAAAATGAAGAAAACTGTGAAGAAAATATAAAAACCACCTATAATCTGGGGCTCCTGGGTGGCTCAGTTGGTTAAATGTCTGCCTTGAGCTCAGATCATGATCCTGGGGTCCTGGGATGGAGCCCCGCTTTGGGGAGCCTGCTTCTCCCTCTCCCCCCTGCTTATGCTCTATCTCTTGCTATCTCTTTCAAATAAATAAATAAAATCTTAAAAAGAAAAAACAAACTGCCCATAATCTACCTTCTGGAGTAGCTACCATAAATATCTAGTATATCTTCTCCCAGGGTTTTTGCTATGTGTATATAAAATCTTTAGTAATTCACCATTATATTATGAATTCCATGTTACTAAATGGTCTTTAAAAAAAGGATTTTCCCCCCACTTTTATGGAGATATAATTGACATACATCATTATATAAAAAAAGCAATGATTTTTGGGGCACCTGGGTGGCTCAGTCAGTTAAGTGTCTGACTCTTGGTTTCAGCTCAGGTCATGATCTCAGGGTCGTGGGATCAAGCCCCGTGTTGGGCTCTGCATTCAGCATGGAGTCTGCTTGTCCCTCTCCCTCTGCTCCTCCCCTGCCCTCTCTCTCCTCAATCTGTCTCTCTCTCTCAAATAAATAAATAAATAAATAAAAACTTTTTTTAAAAGCAATGATTTTTAATGGCTGTATTTTCCATTTAAGTTGTTGAGGTTATTTATAATTTTTTTTGTTTACTTTTTAAATAATGTATAACGTATATCCTGGGGCATAAATATTTGCACGTACCTCTGATTATTTCATTGGGTTAAATTCATAGCAATGGAATAATTCAGTCAAAGAATATGAACATATTTAAGGCTCTTGATGGATATTGCCAAATTGTTTTTCAGAAAGGTTGTCCTTATTTTTCTGTACACTTACCAGCTTTAGGTCTTAAAACATTTTTGTATATATGATTTTGAATTGTTATTTTCCACTAAACTTCAAACTTAAGCATTTTCTCATACCTTAAAATTTCTTCATAAACATAATGTTAAGTGACTGTAAATTCTGTGCTGTTCTGCTGTCTACATTCCTTACTTTTCTTCTGGAGTCAAGGTTGGGATGGGCTCTTCCATTCTTATCTGTTGTCCTTTCCTGATATAGTTCAATTGCCCAATTAAAAAACCCACTCAAAATTTATCCTCTCTTATGATTTTGAAAAAAGTGTTTCCAGACTCCAGCTTCAGAAAACTAAAGCTAGCAGGAACAAAAGCATTTCTTGGAAGGTGTTATATACGGACTGCAGTTCTCATCCTCCAGCTGCTGGGTTCAGTGTGCTGGGACTCTGGCTTTAGATGAGTTTTGTTTAGCTTGCACAGTGCTTTAAAATTTTTAAGCCAGTAATGGAGAATCAGGAGATTTTTACATAATAAACCTGCATTTCTGGCTTCTTTTAAAAAATCAGTAGACTTGGCGTAGCCGGTGCACATGCCCACGTGGCAGGAGCCAGCTGGACCTGAGCCTTGGTGCTCGGTGTGGGTGGGCGGGCTCTCTCCTTTCCACGGCGCTCCCGCTGTTTACTGTTATTATTATTTTTATCAGTATGAGTTTTACACCTAGTCCGCTTGGCTCATTTATATGGTTGCTGCCTAGTCCTGTAGACATTTGAGTTCAGGCCCCAGGCCCAGGGCCTTTTTCACTGTAATGCTGCTGACTCCAAGAATCAGAGCAGTGAGGTGACTTGTTGAGGCATACCACAGCCGCGAGCAGCGAACGACGACTCCGACCAAGTGAGTCCACTTTCAAAGTCCACCCTTGTTCTTCCCACTGTGATCAAACTGCCACTGGGGAAAGTCCACGGGCTGTAAAATGTCATTGTTTCAGCATCAAAAGAGTTCATTCTTATCGTCTTCTGTGACTCACAATGAAAAATCTTGGCTTTGCTATTCAAGCAGATTGTGTTGACATCTTGAACATATGTGTGTGTGTGTGTGTGTGTGTGTTGTGTGTCTCCCTTTCTGTTTCGACTTTTACAAGGTAATTGTGTTACTTCTATGCCAGATTTTGGTTCCCACAGATAACGAAGTCAGTTCAGCATTGCCAAGGCTCCCCCCTCCACCACTCTGGAAGATAATCTGTAGAGAAGAAAAGAAGCTTGAGGTTCTTAAGATTGAATGTTAGCAAAGCTGTTAGAAAAAAAAACAACAACCCAAACAACCAAAAGAACAAGGATTGTCAGTCGTCATTTCAAATATTAGTCGTCTTTTTTCTAGTGGCAGGAAATGAGGAACACAGAGAGGTATGTACATGAGTGTGTGTGTGTGTGTGTGTGTGTGTGTGTATGATCCGCATGGCGACTATACTAAAGCTGTTCCTCGCAGACTTACTGTGTATCAAGCAGGAATTTCACAGGTATCGTTCCCTCATTTGACCCTACAATAGCCCCCCAGATATGCAAAGTAGATACTGGTTCTGTTTCTCAGATGAGGAAACTGAGGGGCTATCTAAACACTCATTCTACCTTGCTGGAAGCGAGGGCAGGCCTCTGCATTTTGTTCCTGACTGTGCTGAGAGATTCTTTGACCATGGACAAGGCAGTCTTTCGGGACTCAGATTTTATCCCCCTTGTCTGTAGAGTGAAGAGGTTGGCCTGGATATTTCATGTTTTTTTCCATCTCTAAAAGTCTCTGGTTCTAAGGTTTTAAAGGCATGAACTTAGTTTTCTAAGCCTGAGAGCTTTTTAAGCGCAGGGTTGATATTTATCCTAGTGCCTAGAATTTATTGAAGAACGAATGAAAATCTGGCCTACATCAAAGTAAAAACAAAACCAAAGGTGTTTACGGAAGAATTATCTAAACAAAGTTAAAGGCCAAAGGTTAAACCAGAAAAAATATTATTTAAATAGGTTACAAAAGGTTAGTGTAAAATACAATTACAAAAGGTTAGTGTAAAATACTCAAGAAGTGAATAAGAAAAGGATGAGCACCCCAACCAAAAAGTGGGCAAAGGTCACAAACTAAATATTTACTAAGAAAAATGCAAGTGAACAAATAAACACTAAAATGATGTTCAAAGTTATAAGAAGCATAATAAAAATGGGAATGACATATCATTTCTCCTTATCATACTGGAAAAGATTTGAAAGATCAGGATTGGGGGGGAGAAGGTCATCTCCTACATTGTCGTCATGAGTGTGTAGGCTGCTCCCACCCAGTGTGGCATGTCTGTTTCTAAGGAAATAGTTGTACAAGGACACAAAGATATAAGTACAAAGATACTCATTTAATCATCATCATAATAGTGGAAAATAGGTGACCAAAATGTCCATCATTGGGGTAGTGAATAAAGCCATAACATGGTGTAGAATATTTAGTCATTTTATTTATTTATTTATTTATTTATTTATTTATTTATTTATTTATTTATTTTTAAAGATTTTATTTATTTATTTGAGACAGAATGAGAGAGACAGAGAGCACATGAGAGGAGGAGGGTCAGAGGGAGAAGCAGGCTCCCTGCCAAGCAGGGAGCCCGATGCGGGACTCGATCCAGGGACTCCAGGATCATGATCTGAGCCGAAGGCAGTCGCTTAACCAACTGAGCCACCCAGGCGCCCTATTTAGTCATTTTAGATGATGTTGATCTGTATTCACAGAAATGGAAAGATATCCATGATACATCGAGTGGAGGGAAAACAAAATGAATGTAGAGTATGATCAATTACGGATGTAAACACTGTATAAACATAATTTGGAAGGATATATACCAACTTATTAGCAGTGATTGTGGCTAGGTGGTGACATGACAATTGATTTCTATTTCCTCCTTTGTTTTCATTTTTTGAATTTCTTTTTTGGGATGTCCATATATTGCTTTTGTAATGGGAAAAGTAATAAAGACATTTCCATTTTTGGAATATATTTGCTCTTATCAGTAGTCTGTGTATATTTTAAGCACTTTAAAAGAAATAGTGTCGGGGCGCCTGGGTGGCTCAGTCGTTAAGCGTCTGCCTTCGGCTCAGGTCATGATCCCAGGGTCCTGGGATCGAGCCCCGCATCGGGCTCCCTGCTCCGCAAGAAGCCTGTTTCTCCTTCTCCCTCTCCCCCTGCTTGTGATCCTGCTCTCACTGTGTCTCTCTCTGTCAAATAAATAAATAAAATCTTAAAAAAAAAATAAATAAATAAATAAAAGAAATAGTGTCATGGGACAGTTGTGGTTTTGATGATATTGGGTCATATCACTTAGAAAACTGCTTAGAATTTCCATTTAGTGCAATCGTAGGTTGATAAATAGAACTGTTAACTTTTGGCATTGTGTGAGTATGTTGTGAGGGTTGTGTGGGAATTGCAGGGACATAGGCTTTTCTACTTGGGACTTGTGTAGTTTGCCTCTTAGTCTTGGGGAAAAGTAGGAGAAGTTGAGGAAACATTACTGGGATGGGTGCTGAGTGACGTAGGGCTGTACTGTGTGCTGGATGGTGGGTCGGCTGGGCCATAGGAAGTAGGGTAGACAGCCTGATACCTTACCCCTAAAAACTCTACTGTGCCTCTCCTGAGAAAAAGAACATAGTGAGTATACCATTATCACACCTAGAAAATTAATTTTTAAAAAAGATTTTATTTATTTGAGAGAGAGAGAGGAGAGAGAGGGTGGGAGAGGAGCAGAGGGAAAGGGACAAGCAGACTCCACGCTGAGCGTGGAGCCCAACGAGGGGCTTGATCCCCAACCCTGAGATCGTGACCCGTGCTGAAACCAAGAGTCAGACTCTTAACCGACTGAGCCACCCAGGTGCCCCTAGAAAATTAATTTTGATTCAATGATAGTATCTGACATATAGTCTAAATTTAAATTTCCCCAGTTGTCCTCAAAATGTCTTTTAAAGATTTTCCCCTCCTAATTCTAGATGGATCCAAGGGGCATTTGGTTGTTTTATCTCTTTCTTCTCTCTTAATTTAGCTTCTAGAACAATCTTCCTACCTTTTGTTTTGTTTGCTTTTCATGACTTTGACTTACGTGAAGCATTCAGGCCAGTTGTCTTGTAGAATGCTCTACATTCTGGATTTGCCTAATCTGTTTCTTATGATTACATTCAGGTAAACTGGTTTTGGCCAGAATGCTGCACAGATGATGTATGTGCTTCTTATTCCATCACACGAGGAGCCTTATCATGTCTGGTTGTCCCACTGTTGGGGAGACCCACTAGTTTTTAATGAATGGGAAGCTTTATCTCACAGAAAAAAAAAGTCAAGGGTATAAACTTTCCACGTATTGTCTATTTATGTCTTTCATGAATGCAAAGAAAACATTTATTAACAGGAAATATACAAAAAAAAGAAAGTGTCAAGTGTTTCATTATCTACTGAGAGTTTTGAATCCTTTTTTTTTTTAATGGAGAAAATGTAAATATTTGGTAAACCACCAACCTTTACCCCTGCATGTATAAAAGCAGGGTGGGAATGAGATACGGTATTCTATTAGTTGCTACTAGTGTTGGATGCATAGCATGGGTGCATATGGAAGGCAGTTTTCTGTGTGTGCCATCACAAGACCCACACTGTGATGTGGGTTGCCCGGTCAATTCCTCATTGTTGTAATAATATGTTTTTAAAATCTTAGGTTTTATTTTCTTTCCTGAGATTTGGGGCATATTATCTTAGAACAATTGAGCGTACTATCTTAGGACAGTGTTTTTGGAAGCACAGTGCTTTGAATGCATTCTTCTCTTTTTAAAAAATTTTTCCTTCCCTAAACATCCAGTTAGACTAACAAAAAATGCAGAATATTTTCTTCTGGCTGACAGGACTCTAGCAGCCCTTCTTTCCTCTTAGTGGTCCCCCAGGAGGGAGCTTTTGGAGTCTTGCTGAGGCAAAATGAACTTGTGTGAAACAGGAGTCTTTGTGAAGATTGAGGGGCGCCTGGTAACGTGGAGATGTTGATTCTCTTTTTCAGGGCATCTTTTATGACCAAAACCGTGCCTTGTGGAAATGAGCTTCATAAGTTCCTCATCTGGGACACTGCTGGGCAGGAACGGGTAAGTTGTTGGCTTTCTAGGGAAAATACTGAGCCCGGTTCCCGAAGGTTTCTTTGTATTTGGCAAGACTCTTGGTTGCAAGTGACAGAAACCCAGATTCAGTGATTTAATCAAAAAAGGAAATGTGTTCTTCCACTGTGTGAAAATGTATGGGGTAGCCCTCTTGAGATAGGGCCAAGTTCATCAAGTCCCCCAAATGTATTGTCAGAGGCACCCGGCTCTATTCCTGTTTCTCTGCTTGCTTCCCTCTAGACTGGCTTCATTTTTAGGCAGACTCACTTCCTCCCCTTCCCCAAGGGTGGCAAGGATGGCTGCATCAGTGACTCCAGGCCTGCATTCTGCCACCTGAGCAGCCCCACAGATGACAGTACCTTTTTTCCGCGAGTTGCGCCCCGTGTCTCAGCATGGTCATGTGTCCCACTCCTGAACTTGACACTGTGTAGTAGCGTTCATGGGGGATTTGGCACTCTTGTTTGTAGGGCCTGGTAATACACTTTACCCCTAAAGGTAGGGGCTGCCATCAGCCACACTGGTTGGAAGTCCGGTAGGCTTAGTTACCCAAGGAAAATATGGGTTCTCTTACTGGAAAACGGGGCAATGGATGTTGGGTTAGCAGAAAGAGCCAATGACTTGTCTCATTCTTCATTCCTTTTATTTGCCAAAAATATTGATGGGGAAGATTATTTAAGAAGCTCGTGTTTTTAGATTTTAAAAAGTGAAATAATACCAGCACAGACTGATTGTAACAGGATATTCGTGTAATCACTAGAGTGTATATTATCAAAGTTGAAAGGGGTGCTCAGAATAAGTGACACACGGGGATAACCACTAGCTTGTCTTCACTGGGGGCTTCCAGCCTACTCAAAACTTTCATCAGAGCTAATGATTACGGAGTAAAATAGGTTGAGCTTCCCCTCGTCTGATCCAAGCTCATGTGTCACCTTCTTTACCTACCCTATTCAAATGTCAACACTTCCCCTTTTTCCGTCCCTGCTCCACTCACTTCCTTTTTCTCCACAGCTCTTACCACCTTCTAATACACTATTGAATTCCATTATTGATTATCTCTCTCTCAAAGGAAGAGAATCCAGGGTTTGGGATAATGCATCCCTTTCCTTATTAGCTCCTAACAAGTCAAGTGTGTGTTTCTGTAACTTTCATTTTATACAAGTCCCCACTCCAGCAGTTGTAGATTAAGGCTACTAGGGTTTTAAAGATGTCTTTCTTCTTAATCCGGACGAATCTTCTGGCCTACAAATGTCAACCTCATTAGAATGTCTTCTATTTTGCTGCTAAGTTGAGAGCACAGACTTGCACACACGAAGCCATTACTTAGAGCACCTCTGTAACTCTATTAGTCTGCTGTGCCTGCTGACCTCCGAAATGAGAAGGCGGATCCTAGGAGAAAATGTATACTCAGGGATCTCATCTTTACATAGCTTCCTCTTTACCTACTATGTACGTATATTTGTAGTATGTAGATCTGCTAGGTTTTGGGGGTTTGGGGTTTGGTTTTTTGGTTGTTATTTAAACTTAAGCAGAGAGGTTTTCTTGCTCCCATTTTTACTTTTGGTCATGAAATAGTTGCTTTTGCAGCCACTCACTGTTAAAGAGCATCAGTCAATTTTACCAATAGCTGGCTTAGTATTAGCAGTACTACTGCTTCTCCTATTAGCGGATATTTCCTGAGGGCTAGCTATGTTCCACGCAGTGTTCTCATGCCTTCCGTGTACTAACTAACACGCTTAGTCCTCTCACAGCACTCTGAACTGGGGACTATTTTTATCCCTCTTTATAAGTGAGGTCACAGAGGGACAGAGTGGTTAAGTAACTTGCTCAAGATCACACAGCCCATTAGGCTGAAAGCTGAAATCTGAATCCAGCAGTTTGGGTCCTGAGCTTTGCTTTGTAGTTTTGTTCTGCTAGAAAAATCACACAAAAGCCATGCAGCCAAGAGTAAAATTATCCAAAATCCCACCACCCAGATATCTCCACTGTTTTTCAAATTTAGTTTTTAAATTGAAGGTTAATTGACATCCAATATTAGCTTCAGGTGTACATCATAGTGATTTGATATTTTTATACATTATGAAATGATCCTCACAATAAGTCTAATTTCCGCTATTTACATTAGATGACCATTCTTCAGATATCTCACTCTGTGTGTGTTGGTAACTTCATATCAAAGGGCTCAGGGTTCTTTATAACCTGCTGTTTTCATGTGGTAATAACAGTGTTTCTGAAGAGAGATTTCTGTATGATCTAAACAGAGTATTTGACATCTACTTACCTATTCTGATAAAATATTCAAGTAGGTGACTGCTTTTGATGAAATTTGGTCCTCTAAAGTGACTACTGTAGTTTGTAGCTTGCTGCCTGACCATCTCAAAGCAAAATAGCAATAGAAAATTTTTCGTATGACCATATTTCTAATAATTCTAATTGCTTTTCCTAAAATTGGATTTTTAGAGGTGATAGACATCTGTGCCTGTATTGCTGTCATTTTAAAAGCATAGTATTATATATGTTATTATATTATACATATTATATTCATTATATATATATTATATATTATTGTATCAGTGTTATATGTATTAGTAGTAGTATCTACTATGATAATTATTAGTATTAGGTGTGCAAGGCCAAGTCCACACTAGTGCTTCAGGGAGGAGGGACTGACTTTTGGATGAGAACTTCAGGTGGATGCTTTTTAGAATCTAGATTTGTGGATACCATGTGAGAAATGTCTGCACAGCCTTTGTGGTCACTGATGCCTCTAACCCTTGAAGGCCTGATTTAGTTATCCTCAGGCTGTCCTTGTCTGCTGTCCCTCCATGCAGTCTCGCATCTCTCCAGTGATGGCAATTTCTCAGTCATTTTGGCAGCTTGTTGTTGGATTTAATCGTGCTTATAATGATGTTGCCTAATGTTGGAGCTAAAAATACCTTCCCTGCTGCTGCATGTGCCTACTGCTGTTTGTTCTGTCTCATTCATTGTTGGAGTCCAGCGCACTATATTATCCCTCCTTATCTTTGTAGGAATCGGCTACTGTTCTTCTTAGTCTTCACAATTTTAAACAAACAAAATCTCTTTGGATTTATGATTTGATAATATAAAGACATAGATTTCTGTGTCCTTAAAGGGGTATAATGCTCAGTGCAGTGCTTAGCATGTGTTAATTACTCAGTATTTGTTTAGTTGTGGAACTATCGAACCACTTCTGCCTAGGATACACGGTATTCATTCTGGACTACATTTGTGGCACAAATTCATACTCTTGAGAACTCACTCTCCCATCTGAGCACTGGAAAGGTAAAAGGAGCCCTCTCTTCCTCCCTCTCTTTGTAGAAGAGAGTGTTCATTCTTGATATGCTGTCTTAATTATGCTTTTCATTCAACCACATATGATGAACATCCTATGATCCTTTCAATGGCAAACGGTAATCCATAGACTGCCTCTGTAAAGAAGTGTTTTCAATTAACCATTTTCAATTAACCAAGTGATTGTTGAATCCAATTTGTTAGAAGCTTAACATTTTCAAGGTTTGTGCATTCAGTTTGTTGCTGCCAAGAGGGGTATAGAGGGTGCAAGAGTGCCATTGGAGTGCCCGTGTTGTAGTGTTGGTGTGGGCTTTTGGGGGTTTTCATCCTGTCCTCTCGGAATGAGTTGTTGTGCTGGTTTCTGCTTTGTGTGGAGCTATGAGGAGAACTCAGCAGTGGGGCAGCAGACGCCCTGGAAGGATATACACAGGAGCTTGAAGAGGTCCCAGGGGAGAGAAAGGAATTTATCTGCCCAGCTTCGTCCTCCTATCTCCCACTGGTCAGGGTTTGTGATGGGAAGATGAGGCTTCTGTCCTAATGTGTCAACACATCTGTCTTTCCCTTTGGGTTTCTTTTGGACTCCTTTCTTTGTTTTTCCACATAAACTGGGGACTAGAATATCCTCATTGTTATTAAAATGTTTGGGGGCACCCGGGTGGCTCAGTAGGTTAAGCAGCTCAGGTCTCGGTTTCAGGGTCATGATATCGAGCTCAGCATTGGGCTCCTCGCTGAGTGTAGAGACTGCTTGGGATTCTCTCTCTCTCTTCCTCTGCACCGCGCCCCCCTCCAAAAAAAAGTCTCATCTATAGGAATTGCAGCCTCCATGTTCTAGAAGTGTGCTTCCAAGTCATTCTGTTTTTGCTTTAAAACACAATTGCAATCCATAGGATAACTCCATTAAAATGTTCATATCTTGGAAGAATTCCATGCTTCATTTTCTTGATCTGATCCATCAGAGCAATATTATTCTAACAATCTAACATGAACAAATATTAACATCATTATCTTGTTTCACTTGGGTTGAAGTCAGTGTTATGGCTGTCTATCTGCCCTACTGCCTCAGTCAGAATAGTTGTATTTATAAAATTTGCATTTCAAATGCGCCACAGTCACAAATTCCGCAAAGGTGAATTGATGGTTCTTTGGTTAGAATAAAAGCTCTCCCCTGACTCTACTAACACATCTGAAGTTGAATAGATTGACTTCTGAAGTCAAGCTCGTCATTATATACTTTTTTTTTTTTAAAGATTTTTTTATTTATTTGACAGAGGGATAGAGAGAGAGAACAAGTACGCAGAGAGGGAGGCAGAGGGAGAGGGAGAAGCAGGCTCCCCGCTGAGCAGGGAGCCTGATGTGGGGCTCGATCCCAGGACCCTGGGATCATGACCCGAGCCGAAGGCAGCCGCTTAACCGACTGAGCCACCCAGGTGCCCCCATTATATACTTTTTAAAGATGAAATTGGAGAACACATACACAGACTAAAAAATAGGCCCCCTTTCCCAATACTTAGCAAGAATTATGGAGCTTTGAATTTAATGGTAAAAATGACATGATACAAGGATTTGTGTAGGAAATTATATAATTTTTAACTACCGCCATTTTTTGGGTATTTTAAAAAAATCGATGGAACACGGAAAATGAAAGAAATGATAAGTAAGAACAATATTAAATACTGAAT